GTTGCTATCCAAACAGCCGTCTTGGTATCCGGAGTACTTGGGTGGCTTCTGACCGTCTCAATGTGCTTCTGTCTGACCGATTTCGAAGGGATCTTAGCCTCCCCTACCGGTCTTCCCGCAGCTCAGATCTTCCTCAATGCCGGTGGCAAGCGAGGTGGCACAATCATGTGGGCATTTGCCATTTTGGTCCAATTCTTCACAGGCTGTTCAGCCATGCTGGCAGATACAAGAATGGCCTACGCCTTTGCCCGAGACGATGCGCTTCCATTTTCAAAGTAGGATGTTTCTCACCTTTACAACTGATTCAAGTTCCGCACTGATACACTATAGGTTCCTTTCCAAGGTCAATCCTCGCACCCATACTCCTGTCAATGCAGTGTGGTTTGTTGTCATCTTCAGCGTAGGCTTGAACTGCATCGCCATTGGCTCCACACAAACAGCAACCGCAATCTTCAACATCACTGCTCCGGCACTAGACCTGTCTTATGTGTCTGTCATTCTCGCCCATCAGCTCTATAAATCGAAAGTCAGATTTATTGAAGGCCCCTTTACCCTCGGCAAATGGGGTACTCCTATTAACTACCTTGCTGTCGTCTGGGTCTTGTTCATCAGCACAATTCTCTTCTTCCCGCCACAGCTTCCTGTGACACCCGCGAATATGTAAGGCGCTTTAGCCCGATTTATGCCCAAACAGAAAAAACATGCTAACATGTCCTGCCTAGGAACTACGCCGTCTGTGTTGGCGGCTTTATTGCCGCTTTTGCTTTGATATGGTGGTGGGTTGAAGCTCGAGGGTAAGAGACATCTAAGATTAATCCATACTTCTAACATAATTCAACTGGATACTGACATGCCCTACGTTCTTTCTGCAGAAAATACACTGGTCCTCAAACCAATGATATCATACGAGAAATTCTCACCGAGGATGATGGCAATGATTCCGAAGAGTCAGGCGAGATCACTGTTTAGATGACATATTCGTCTCTTATACCACGTTGACATGTGGTTTCATTTTTTAGATTATAGATTGGATATAGACTATGTTCTGCTTGTTTGAAGCCTTGAGCATTTAGAAATGGGTTGTGTTGATTTCGGGTTTAAAATTGTGCGTCGATGGTAATGTTGTTTTTGCATAGAATACTACATGTGACATAAACGGGGGCAAACTATTAGAAGAAAACTTCCTTGATTATAAATCTCTTGGTGTTGAGAAGAAAGAGGTGGCTATGGATGCTTTGTTGATCATGAAATTATACACCGGAAAAGATAGAAATACATGTTACCTGTATAGCCTTAGCTGCCGGCAACAACAGCCAGGCCCTCATAGATTTTCCTTTTGACAGCAAGGAAGCTCCCTATTCCACGGCCACCAGGACGAGCCAGTGAAGACTGCGCCGTTGCTTCAACTTCGATTTTGCCCGTTCCCGATTTGCGCACAGCGACGGACTTATCAATGAGAAGTGTTCCCTCGCCTCGGAACTCGGCAGTGTGACCAGCAGATTGCATCAGCTTGCGAAGATCGGCCAATCGCAAGTCACCGACATGAAGAGGGCGAGCCATAGATCTGGTTCCTGCAGCCATGCTAGCTGGGAGAGTGTCGAGTAGAGGATATACCTCCACCTTGTCGATTATTTTTGTGTCTGCTTGTTCCAATGTTGGGGCAACGGCGGAAGAGGCTGCTTCGTCTTTCAGCTGCTTGACCTTCTTGCCTGATGTTTCTATTTCCCCAATGTCGGCAGGCTCTGGTCCTCGCAACTGTGCTGTGAGAGCAACGACGCCGAGGCTGCGGACGTGCTGCCAATTCAAGCGTCGAACGAGCGTGTTGCTCAGCTTGACCATCCAGGCATTTGTATCGACACTTGCATCGATGACTTCGCCGTTCGCCGGAGTGAAGATAATGGCAGCCGAGTCAAACGCAGGGTCAGAAACCGTAGCGCCGAGCTTGGCTGTCAACAATTTCTGGCATTCGGCTGCCAATGCTGACGTCTCTTCCTTCATGCCACCAACCAGGATCAATTTTTGAGGTTGAATCAGTGGGATTAACATCTCCAAGCTGCGCTTGTCGTGCAAACCCATGAAGTCGATGAAGGCAATCCTAGCGTTGATAGTGATGGTCTGCGTATGATAAACAACCTTCGCAGGACCTTCGAATGATTGACCTTCTGCTTCATCTTCAGACTCCACAGCTACATCGGCGTCTTCACCATCGGAGACAAGGCTGAGATCATCATCGTCGATCTTCTTGCCGTCAATGTGAGGACGCTTCCGTCCTGCTGCGCCGCCAGACAACTTGCGTCCATGGGGGCCGACGGTATCATCCCATCGTCGCTTTTGGCCAAGTTTAGTCTCGGCATCGGTGCGCCGTTGTTGCATATCAATCTCTTCGCGTTCTTCGGCCCGGAGATACTCCTCTGGGCGAATGAATTCTCCATATTCATCTCCCTTCTTTCTCGGTGCCACGTAAGGGAACATGCGCTCGCGGCCCTTCTTGCCACGCACATCGTAATCGTAAACGTTCTTTCGACGAAGAAGGATGTTGATGCCCAGATCTTCGTCGCTAACGGCAAGTTTGCTTCGAGTGGCGTGTGCAAGTGAGGCTGAAAAGTTCAGCGCGCGACCCTGGTGTTCGGGATCCGAGTCCTCGGAAGAGGTAGAGCTCGATCCGTCATCGAGGGCATCTGCGGCAGTTTCAAGGGTTTCTTGGCCAAGTGTTTGAGAGGTATCTTGAAGTTGGCGCTTAGTCGCGAGATACTGTTGGTATATTAACTGCTCCCCGGTATCGAGAGGGGCTCGCTGCACATCTGTCCAAGACAATTCTCGTCCGCCGCTGTGGACTTGCTCGATGTGTTCGCCATCTGATGCTTTCTCTAGAGCCACGCCATCTCTTCGTTCCTCGTACCATTCCCAAATCATGCTTCCAATTGTTGTCGAACTCTGTGATGGTTTGGATTCTTCAGTCTTCATATCCTTGCGGAACGACTCCGTCAGTAACAACAGATTGTTAGGTCCTTCAGCCACTTGTCGAAGCGCATCCTTTGAGAAGCCCCAGTCTAGTGATGTATCTGATGCAAGGATTACTTTAGGTCCTGGTTCTGCCAGGAGCTTCTCAAGTCGCTTCTTCCGCTCAATGATCTTGAGATGCTTGAAACTGAATGGCCCCCCGCCCTTGTTAGAGCTCTTTTCCTGTCCACTCGTCCTTTGCCCGTTCGTGACATCTGTGCTTTCTGCCGCTTCAAATTCGCGAACGATGTTCTCGTCCATCCACTCCAGCATGCTTCGAGCGAGTCGGATAGTGTTGGTAACCTTCTTGCCAGCCAGATACAACCCAGCTCCTTGAAGAACATCTTCTTTGTCACCATTCGCGGCATCGCGCCAAGAATGTTCTAGTGAGTAGGCCAATTCAAGGACTCGCGCACTTGTGTCTGTAGGGATGAGAACCGTCCCACCTTTCGCAAGGCTACTTCGGATCATGTCCAGGAGGAGATCGTCTCGCTTTTTCCGACCTCCCGAAGGTGCCAGCTTATCACCTCCAGTTGTACTGCAGATCAAGGCTGTGGGTTTCCGCAACTGTTCAATGACTTCTGTTCCACTGGCACCAGAGCCACCGAACCACGCAGCACCCGCGACCACGCTCTCGCGAGCTTGGTTCCAGTCCATTGCGTAAACAATAGACTCCAACCCATGCTGAATATGCCATATCGTTCCGCCGACGGTGTGACCGGCATTGTAGGCCGTGAGAGTAAGCCCGTTCAACGGCGGGGAGAAAGGCGATGGGAGAGGTTGGTGCGGTTGGGAATATTTGAGTGGCTGAATGAGAGAGAAGTATCGAGAAATTTCCTCCGCTGTCGGCGATTGAAGGAGTATTCGGTTTGTACTGCTAGCGGCTTCGGTATCCCCGCCCGACACAGTCGCAGATCCTGCTGACGATGCGCCTGGCTCTGAAACAGAAGCCTTCGGTAGGAATGTGGCAGCAAGCGGAGCGGAGGCATAAAGGTCTTGTAAGAGCGTACGGCCGAACGCGATGACGGGATTCGTTGCATAGATTGGGATTTGCGTGAAGAGGGGGAATGTTCGGCAGCAATGGACTAGAGCGCCAATATGGGCGGGTGTCGCGTGTGTCAAGAGAATGAGGGAAAGTGTAGGAATATGCCTGATAGTAATATTAGCTCATCTGAATTCAAATGAGGAAACGCGTTGATCGCATGCTCACTTCTCAAGTTCCGCTAAATCAAGGGTATTAAACTTATCATCCCAGCCAACATCCACTAGGATCTTGATGCCTCCATCAAGCTCCAGGATAGACTGCGATGCCCTCGAAGATGACGACTGAGCGCCAAGGAGGGGAGTGAAAGTGAACATATTGAGAGTCTGCCGTTACTCACGGCAAACCTAGCAGCCGCGATTGTTCTGGACCAGCGATGCGGTGACAGATCAGTCACAATCAATGCAGCTGTATGCCTCGAGGTATTTACTCAATTCCAAGATTGATCCATTATCCCAGGGTGTCAAATTGATCCGACTTTCGCGAACAAAGACGAGAGATACCAGACGGCGGGTGAGTTGTTTGTTCGGTTTGCACGTGACGCCTAGCATGGAACCTATTGTATACATCGAGTTCTTTACTCGAAACCTTTAAGATATTTTTTACTTACCAAGCTGTGGACATCTCTTAACTTTTAATTTGGTTATTAAGATTTATCTGAGCACAGCAACCAAGTGTTGCCTTGTGATGATGCCATGTTCTACAAGGGGACTTGAATATATAACTGCAGAACTACATGTTTCGCTCCAACCCAGTGTTGTAAGAATATAATGAATGCTCATATAGAAATAATAAAGTCAAATAAAAGTATACCCAAAAAACCAACAAATCGAAATAAAAAGGCATAGAAATCCCAAACTCCACATCTATAACGGGTACACAATAGACTTATCTAAAAGATGACCACCGGGCAGAACTGACTGACTGCTCTTTTACAGATGCTGGTGTTGGCCTTCTCTTACCTTGTCCCTTGCTCCGTCTTTTCGACCTCGAGACCTTTGTGCATGCCGCAGGCGCAGGAGTCATCCCAATCTAATCGAATATGATCAGCGTGATTCCCAAAAAGTTCAATAAATGAGGAACTTACTGGATTCAGCCATTGATTGAAAGGCCGATGTCTTTCAGCCCAAGGTGGCAGCGTAGCGTCGACCGTGGGTTTGATCTCATGGTCCACCAATTCCTCCCCTGCCCATACTCTGGCTCGGCGAACAGCAGGAGGGTCAGGGAAATGTCTCGCCCTTTGAATTGGGTCCTTGAGATATGCCTTGGCCTGTTCCAGGAACTCATCTTGCAGATTAGGCGGAATCTCAGGACTAGGTGCGCATGCCTGTGATCTTGCACCCGCCTGATTTCCTGTAGTCTTCTTCAACAGTGCCACCGGCGGTTTGTCTGATATTTTCTCCGCTGCAACTGCTCGCATTTTATCCCGTTTTTCTTTCCCTGCTCGTGCGAACGACATAAATTTGTCCACCATGATCTCAGCCGCTGTCTTCCTTCGAGTCGCATGTGGTGATGGTGTTGATGGTGACTCCATCCGCATTCGTTTACTTGACTCTGGAATCCCTCCTGTTTCGAGCTCTGCCATTTCTAACTCTTTCTGTGCGTCTTCCAATGTCTCCAGCGCTTCCCGAAGGGGACCTGGTGGTGGCTGTGGTTGGCGCTTTCGTTCTGACCCTTCGCGATGTTCAACACCACCTAAGCTTTCAACTTGAACAGAACGTTAGCATCATTGACTGGGGTGACAGATAAACAAATTGACTCACAATTTTTTTGCTTTCTATAATACCTCTCAATCTGTCCAGGGCTGAAGAGCCCATCATGGGACACCGAGGACAGGCTATTCGTCGATTGGGCGCTATTATCGTCAGCGGCATTGAACTTGCTAGGCTCGCTGGTCTTGGAAGAAGCGCTGACCTCGCTATCGGAGCCGGAGCCCGAGAAAATGCTACTACTAGGTGATTGTTCTCGAGAGCCTCGGGCTGAGTTGGGCTCAACCTGATCGTCATTGGCGTCGCCAAAGATTGAACCATCTTCTGGGACTGCATCTAGAGACCACCGGTTAGCGTATTCCCCAAATAGGTCTCCAGTATGCAACATGTAATGTCAAAGTAACTAGTTCTCCTCTTCCTTGAAAATGTGATAGCCAGTCAAAAAGCTCGTCCCAGACGCCTTGGGTGGGACTGCTTCTAGGTAGCTCATTTTGTCTCGCAGTATAGTTGACACACTCGCACATCATTCAAATGGTCCATTGGCATACCCAAATCAAATCATCTGATCATTTTGAATGCATGTAAGAAAGGCAAAGAAACATGCAAAGAATGAGAAAATTATGTTGAACTAAGCACATTTGTACTCACCATTTGGTGCAATTTTGCCATCATTTCCAAGAGGTACAGGGGTTTTCGGTTCCGAATAAATGCCCCCTGGATTTAGTTCCAGGTCGGACTCCCGGGTCACAGACGACCCCCTGGAATCGACTGACTGACTTTCTTCGCTGTTCCGCTCGCTGTCCTGTTCGCTGTCTTGCTTGCCGCTCTGCCCGGTTCCAAGAGATTTGGCGGCTGCCAGTTCCGAGTAAGTGCCCTCTGTATTTCGCTCCAGGTAAGCGTCCTCTGACACAGACGACTTTCTGGACTCTCCTGGCTGACTTCCTTCGCTGCTCCGTTCGCTTTCCTGGTCTGGACTTGCAGAACGCGAGGCAGTTGGCCATTCCTCTAATCTCGGGTGATTGGAGACAATGGAAGGCACAAGAGGCAGATGCGGTTGCACCATGCGATTATTTCGTGGTCGGACTGCCATATTTGGACGATCAAAGTTACTGAAGTAAAACCCTGAGTCACTTGGTCTTCGACTGGATTGCTGGGAGGATCCTGTCGCAAAGCGCCTTGTGAGGGGCATTGCCGGCAGAGCTGGGTACCAATTGTAACCAACGGCCACAGCCTCGGGCAAGGGGCCCTGGGCTAGGGACTCATAGATCTGCTCTCGGATCTCCGTATCAATGAGCGTATATTCGAGACACAAATACGCAAGTTCGAAAAGAGCTGGGTATTCTAGCCCGGTCCATTTCTTGAAGTCTCCTTCTTCAAACGTCCATTGTAAACCTCCGAAGTCCGTCATGATACTAGAGTTTGCATCTGAGGCATGTAGTTTGGAAGGGACTTTTAACCTTTCGGTTCGAGTGACCACCCAACGAGGATGTGGTGCACAGCCTCCAATATAGACGTGGGGTAGGGGTTTGTTATCTTCGTTCTCCACGCCTTCTGGGATGTCGGCTTTCCTCATGTACTCCCATTTCCCAATTTGTACAACCGGACGGTTTACTCTGGGTGGGCCGATTTGCACAGAAAGACCAGGAGAAGACAGAGTCTCAACCTTGCGCCTCTTGGCGCGTGGTTCATCGTGATATTCTTCACTTTCGCTTTTTTCGTCTTCGTCCTCATCTTCATCCGATTGATATGTTAAAGCCTTCTCGGGAGCTGCTCTTCCCTTTGTGGCCTTTGTGGCCTTTGTATTCTTGGTGGTCTTGGTTTTCTTGGTGGCTTTAGTGGCCTTAGTGGCTTTCGTGGCTTTGACAGCTTTGGTCTTCGCAGCAATTGTGCGTTTTGTGCCCTTTGTGCCGTTTTTGGTATTGGCAACCTTCGCAGTCTTTGCTGCGGCCGTTGCTGCAGCCTTGTTTGCGTCCTTATCGGCCTTCGCTGCATCCCTCGCGGCCTTCTTTTCCTCTTTCCCAGTCTTTGTTCTGGCAGCTTTGGCGGCTTTTTCGGCATTGGAAGGCTTAGCCGGTAGAGGCTGGACCTTTGGCCGAGCGCCCGTAGCCATTCCTCGAGTTCTGACCATCCTTTCGAGTTGATCAATGGTCTCCCAATCTGATTTGGTTTGTTAGCCAGAGAATGTGTAAAATGATAGCACGGGAACCATACTTACTATGGGTTGTTGCCTTTATAAATGATGGTGATAGAAGATTCAAGTCAATAAAGTCGTGGTGGTGTTCGCGGTTGAGGATAAATCTGGACATGTTGGCTCTATATTAATAGAAGACAGAGACAGATAACCTATTCGTGCCAGTAGACAAAGCACGAGCAGAGAGCAATGGAGAAGCATGCGGATACTTACCAACACAAAGAGAGTTAAAAATATATTTTCGAGCCGTCTTCTTTGTTGACCGGGCCCAGCACACTGCAGATTCGCCGAGGGCCTTTTGACAAAGAGTGTTTCAATTTAATCTTGATACAAAGTTCCACTTCGTGCAATTGAAAGTAGCTTTGACCCAAATCAATCAGGGTTGCTAACAGCTACAATGTGGCAAGTATATGATATTGTCGCCCATTTTCATCCCTTCACTTCAAATCAAAGTTTTGAGGGACTGCAAAAGATCAACGATAGAACGTGTGAATGTAACAAAAAGAAGTCAATAGAACATACTACCTAAGTAGCCCAAGCAACCGAAGCTGGGCAGTTGAAAGAAAAGAAACAAGAGTATCATCAGACCTTCAACGGCGCATGAAAAACAATGAACAAGGACAGGAACCACAGGAAGCAATACAGTACCAAAAATCGATATTTAATTTGCAAAATAATTACATCAAAGAAACCCCGTCCCAGAAACAGAATACCTCGATTTCGAGCCCAGATGACGAGGAGTGAGCCGGTATTCCTGATCATTCTGAGAATCCGCACCCCATAATGTTTACTTCAGAGGAAAGATCCGGGTTTTTGCATTTGAGATTCAATTAGTACCCTAGAAAGTTCAGCACGTTCTCCTGGATATACTGGGGAACGGGGAATTGCAACGAGGCTGGCGGGTTAGGGCTTCCAAGGTTACTTCCAAGTGGAACTAGCCATCTCCATCGACAAGCAAAAGGTGACCAAGTGAGATTAAATTTGGTCTGTGTCCGAATTCAGCAATGGGCCCCCTCATTTCCTATCATGAAAGTGTCTCTAAAACAAAGTGAAACGTATTTCCTCGTTGTCTGAATCTGACACCAGAATTCGACCAGAACGAACAAAGAGCTTTCAGCATCGATGAGTCCATGCGGCCATGAAGAGAAATCTACTTGATCGAATGGACTGATCAGCATGGCCGTTGGAATGCACCTGGGAAGACGTGCTACTGTGCTACTGTGCTGCTATTGTTCTGTGCCGAAGACTCGAAGACTTGAAGACTCCATATCAAATGCTGAAGGGCAAGATCGATATGAGAAAGGAAAATAATGTGTAGTAATTTCTACTAATTGGGATTTATATGATTGACTAAGTCGGTTTCAAATCGTCTGTGACATGGTCAGGACTATTATTAGCGGACGCATGTCAGCATACGACAAAGGACATATCAAAGTCAATATCCAGATAGATATGAAAGCGCCGGCGTACAGGCCACGCCGTGGGTTTGCGATGGCTTGTAATTTTTCAGAATCATGACACAAAGAGAAACATCCTAGTGCTGGAGATGGTGTCTTATGAACCTATCGATCTGGTTGCTACTAGGGTTCCCATATTCCAGCTAAGACTGCTAAAAGGTTAATATTCAGTGTTTTCTCTCACATAACTTTGGGTTTCCAAGTTCGCGAATGTCCCGGTACTACTGAAAGGGGATTTAGGAAAATGTACACATGACCAGGTATTCTTTGACAGGAGAATAAAGGAATATATAATTAGAGGATCTCCTCTCACATGCACCATGTGGGATGCAATACATTAATTTCCGGTTCGTCGGCTCATGCAATGTACGAGTATGTAGAAGGAGCATGAGCCAGAACATAAATATTGGTAGAATAGGAAAACTATCAACAGAAAATACTCTCATCATCCAGTTACTCTAGGTATATTGGTAGCCCCAACGATAGTGGGACGCCTACCTTATGTGGTCCTTAATTATGTCATGATATTGTAGACCGAAGCAAAAGTTTGCGTAATGAAGCGTATACACGCTTCCCATTCAGGTAGACCGTCTACTGCCAGTACCTGGGCTCGTCGAAGACGTGGTAGCGGTGTCCACGCACACCCTGACCTCTGAACAAGGCAGGGAAACGACGGCCAACGGGGACCATCTCCTCTGGGATACGCATCTCATTTTCGGGTTCGGGCTCGCCAATGACGAACTTTCCAACCTATGTCACGAAACAGTCAGAAACTAAGCCCGCGTGGGAGAAGAAATAAAAACAACAACATTACTTACCTGGATCTCCGTATCCGTGATGGTATCACGACTGATTCTGGCGTAGCCAGTGCGATGCAACTTCTTGAAGAGAAGGTACTCGCACCATCTATCCCAGTCGGTAGGATCAATATCCTTCATTTGGCTGCGCTCGCTCACGTAGGTGTTGTAGTTACCCTCGAGCGGTTTGGTGACGAGGTAACTCAACAGGATCAGAGGACGCGGGGAGTCACCCATCAGCTTTGACAGATACTCGCTCTGCAAGCGGCGGTCCTCGGGGTCCTCTTCCTGTCCGGAGTGGAACACAACAACGTCAACCATTTCGCCGTACATGTCGAGTGTGGCGTGGATTGCAGGTGCCAGTTCACCCACAGGCGAAGGGAGAAGGTGGTGCGTAGAGTTAACGATGGGGAACTTAGACAGCAAGGCGGAGCCCCAGGTGTGCTTGTTGGGACCGGGGCCGAAGTCAGTGTAGTAGCCAAGGTCCTCGGCGATGAACTGAGTGATGTCCCTGTTGCCCATGATGATACGCTGGTTGTCGGATTCGAGGAAACCAATAACATCCAGCTCAAGCTCACCAATGACGTCGCGCATGCGGCGCTCAGATGACCACATGTTGTTGTCGAGGCCAAAGTGGACAGTCCAGATACCAGCGGTCACAACCTTGTCCTCCTTGTGATGAGGGGTGTAGTCATTAGTCGGGAATCGGAGGTAGGCGATGGATACGGAAAGCAGTTGCAACACAGCAAGGACGTAAATATAGTACGATCGCTGTTTCCTGCTGTTGGGGTTGACGGGCTTGTGGGCCTTGCGTGAGCGAGTCGAGTTCGAGGTCGCCGCAGAGAAAACACCCGCTCCAATAGAAACCATTGTAGTGGTCATGAGCCAGTCAGTGTGCTCACGAAGGAACGGGCCACCTGGCACGAAGGCATAGGCAACAACCCAAACGTGGAAGAGCAAAAGAGCCACATAGACGATGAAGCCGATGCCAAAAGTGCTCGCAGGGGAGTGACGAACGCTGGACACAATCAGAACCGGAGCAACGGCCATGATATAGAACGCAAGAATGAGGGCGCCATAGAATCCAGTCCAGTGGTGGTAGCAAGTAAGAAGAGCAGCACCAATGGAACCGACACCGAAGGCAGTCCAGCTTCCAGCGATTCTAGGGTGGAAGATGCCGTACACAAGACCGGCTCCCATTGCGAAGATCGTCAGAGCACCGTGAGGAGCTGCAAGCGGTCCTCGCACTGGGTATCCATCCCAGACCCACGAGATCATGGTACTCGAGTCAGTCAAAAGCGACACGATGGCGAACATCAGAGCGCCAAATCCAACACCAGCAAGAATGGACGAGCCCTTCTTGCCACCTGCTGGCAAGTAATCACCGCCGCTCGTGTTTGAACCTCTCTGGGACCTCAAAACAGCGAACAGAGCAATGACGATTCCGACTTTGTTCCAGCCACCATTCTCGGCGTGAACAATTGGCCAAAGTGGGTTGTTGGTCTTGCATGCGAACTTGGCAACAACGGACATAATCAAACCAACGCCCCAAGCCATGATACGAGCTTCGAGGCGAGGAGTGTTAGCCCTTTCGGAAAAGAAGCTAGCGGTCCATGCTGCACAAGTGGTAGAAAGAGCGAACCCAGTGACAAAGAGACGGTTGGCAGGATCCTGGAACTTGTATCCGAGCAGACCAACGAGCGAGAGCAGATGAAGAATGCGAAGATTCTTCACAGCTGCATATCGCAGGGATGGGATAACGTAGAGCAACGGGGACGTGCAGCAAACAATGGCAACCTCGTATCCGGAGATACCCATGTGCCAAAGTGGGAAATCTATTAAGATCAGACAAGTCGATCAGTACCAGGGAATAGATGTCACTTACACCAGACAAGGACAGGCAGAGCAGTCACTATGGTCCAGAAAACAAACTACAGTCCATGTCAGTAACGCAGGAGACCAATGATCGACTGGTATAATTTACCCCATTGTAGACATCCGAGGCAGCATCAATGATCTCGGTCCAGAAGAAGCCCTCACCAAAGGTGTTTCCCACGGGCTTGCCCTTCCTACGTACGTGGTTAATTTTGGTATGGTTGTAGTTGGTTATGGGATTGAACACACTCTTTTTCCAAGACAGAATCTGCAGTCGTTTTCAATTGCCTAATGAGGACAAACTTAGACAATGTTTTTTTTTGTTCAAAACCAATATAGCCTTTGGCACTATACATTTGATGCGGGCAGTGTCATTTTGGAAGCCACGGTACATACCCTCTGCTAACACCCTTAACATCCCTCACCACCAGTTCGAAGCTCTCAAAGTCAAGAGCTGTGACAGCATCAAAACCGACATCGAACAGGATTAGGGACCATTCAAAGAAGGCATATTTGGTGTAGGCTAAATATTTGACTGATTAGCATACGGTAACCCCTAGTTGGCTGCTCACAAGGGCAAGTACTCACCACCAGGGACCTTGTGGACCTTGTGCTGAATGAAATAGTAGATCAACGGAACCAATGTTCCAAAGAACAAGCTGGCCATAATTTTGCGGTACTTAACGGCGCGGCGGTTGTTCGGGCTGAGCGCAAGGCAACCCAAGGTCCACGGCAAAGTGGCCACCAAGTACGAGATCATGAAGATGTCATGCCAGTCGTGGTCATCGGTAGATGTGACATAGGTCCAACCACCGCATGTCAATGTCCGGAAGATGCCCACGCCGGCAACCAACTTGGGTAAGGTCGAGTTCGGACGCGAAGTGAGGATGTACCACAGGAAGACGAGAGCGAAGCGAGGACCAGAAGTAATCGCAATGAAGACCTGGAAAAAGGACCGTTCGGGATATCGGTCACCGATGGTCGCA